CTTGATATATATCTCAATCATAAATAAAAGCCGCAACGAAATTCACTAAAAAAACAAGCTTTGACAATTAACACAAAATGGCAGTTGTTTAGTAACTTAAATAAGTGCTACCAAGATACTATTGTCTTACGATGTGGTTAAAATATGAATGAACAGATAAAAGCAACGTTGCCAGATCTTCAAGTCGATTATGGTATAATTTATGTAAGGTTCTTACTTGTTTGACTATTTTGATATCAATCCATTGTACGAGAATCATGATGTTAAGTACCCACACATGGTCTGAAGAATCACCATTAACAGGGAATAATTTTAGTTACTGGAGGTTTGAGAATGTGTAGAACGACCACGAGAAAATCCGTTGTTTTGTTGCCGCATCTTGCGGCGAGGCAACGTGTCGATTCATTTCGTATATGTCGTCAATAACCAGAAATGTAAACAAAGGGGTCTATCCTCGTTTTAAAGTCGATGTTTCAACTCTTGCACAAATTGCACCTTGTAAGGAAATAATCCCAGGTCGTTGGGCAATATTCTCCGCATAGAAGTGCGACTGATGCCCACTTGTTGTGCTCTGTGATGAGTTGACAGTCTTGCGTTTTCACGCACACTTTGGGCAACAGCAGCAATGTTTTCGGCTGTAAATACAGGTCGAACACGCTCATACCTTCTGTTATCCACAAGCAGGCCAGTTTCACGAACCTTCATCACGAATATTCGTAAACCAGTCGCGGACGGAGCTTCATTCCGACCAAATAGTCTTCTCAATTTTCGCAAAGTTTCTGCAACACGGCACTCACTTTGAAAATAGTTTTCCAATATTTCCCACCTTTGTTAACGATTAAAACGATCCACAGCGGAAGTTTGACACAATATATCTGTCAATATGGTGAGCATGGAAGTGTTACCAACTGTCAAAATAATACCAACTTAAAAACACAACTGGTGGCCCACCCTTTAGGTTCTGTAAGATTACGACATTGCTATATCCTGGCAGTAAAGTTGTAGGCGTGATCAGAGGGTCAAAATTCTCATCTACAAGCATGTGGTTTTGCGCAGTGTTCAAAATAAATTGTTATGTACAGTCCACAGCCTCCATGGATATTACATTTAGAACATTTCTAAGTCATTCGCGCTCATTCTCAACATTAGAATGTTCTCTTGCGATTATAGCCAATTTCTTGCCTTTATCCATTGTGCCTCTAGACAGGAACTGTAAAAGTAATATTTCACAAGTAATCAACAAAATTAAGCTAAATATTAAGCTTCCTTGAATGTTACCTGATTTAATAACTTGAAAAAGAAATCGTAAGCTACATCAACAATGTTAAAACACCCACTCTCTACCGAATCTGGTTAGATCATAAATCCAGAAGTGAACATTCGAATTAGCGGGAATTGACAGTCATTATTGGCGCGAAAATTGTACTGAACCGTCCATGAAATGCTTATCCCATGTTCGGCATATATTGTCTCAGATATATAAAGCCTACAAAAATTTCATATAGTATCCTTATAAATACACTTACTGACCGACAAAAAGTAATTAAACATATTTTGAATTCGGTGTGATTAAGTGTATGTCTTATAGTATCTACTATAAAAATGTTAGATACTGTGAAAGAAACACTGTAGATTTTCGGCATTTAAAATGACACATGCTGTATTTCATCATAGAAATATGCTTCTTCTAGTTTTTCTACGTGCATTTCATATTATAATGGCGATTGCTCATTTTCGCTTGTTTTGCACTTGCTGCCTTCTGGCTTATGACGGCAGTAACTTTCATTGCTTTCAAACAGCTTTTCGCACAGCTCAAACAATGGAAGTTTGCAATTAGGAAGCTGGTGGTACACATGTGATTGCCTATAAAGCTTTTCACATTGCTGCGATAAAATATGGGGAGCACTATCAGATCGTAGCAGATAATTCTTGTAATCATATACTAAGTGACATATAAATCCGAACACCCAGTTTAAATGGTTTTATTTTAATAAAAGTTGGTGAATGTATTTATCTTACTGTAAATAACAAGTGAAAAAATTTTCAGCCTTATCAGTTGGACATTCCGGTTTTTATACTGCTTTTTTTTTAATTCACTAACGCTCTGAAAATGAATATTTCAGCCGCAGTAAAGAATCAACGTTGGCGGATTTTGGTTCTTGACATCCTTTACGATCGGTTACGATGCCTAGAGTACGGAGACCTGTACGATTTCGTCAACTTGTGAGTTTGATAGGGGCCGTATAGTGGGACTTCGGGAAGCTGGACTTTCTTTTCGGGCAATTGCAGTTAGAGTGCAAAGAAGTGTAGACACTGTGGTTAGGTGTTGTCAGGCATGGCTTCGAGAAGGCCGCACGCAAAGAGCAAGGGGCACTGGACGCCGCCGTAGAACAACAGACCGTGAAGATCGCCGCCTAAGATTATTGGCCTTAAGGGACCGTTTCTCCACTACCAGGTCCATTGCAAATAAATGGTTTGCAGAACACGGAAGACCTATTGGCATGCGAAGTGTTTACCGACGAATGAGAAGTTTTGGCTTGTTTTCATACCGGCCACACTGGGTCCTCCCTTTAACTCGAGAACACCGACGTAATTGCCTTGAGTGGTGCAGACAACGGTCACTCTGGGATCAGGAATGGAACAGTATTGTCTTTAGTGACGAGTCTCGATTTTGTTTAGGCATGCACGATGGTCGTGCCAGGGTTAGAAGGCGACGTGGTGAAAGGAGGAATCCACAGTTTTTTGTTGAAAGACATGTTCATCACACTGTTGGAGGTATGGTTTTGGGTACTATAGCTTATGGTTCCAGGTCACATTAAATCTTCATCAGAGGTAACATGAACGCGCAGCGTTATATCCACGAAGTTCTAGAACCCCATCTTTTACCCTATCTTGATACTCTGGCAGATCCAACTTTCCAACAAGATAATGCCCGACCACATGTTGCAAGAGTCACAATAGACTTCTTTCAACATAATGATGTCACATTGTTACCATGGCCACCAAGATCTCCCGACTTATCCCCAATTGAGCACGTGTGGGATATGATGGGTAGGAGATTGCTCAATTTGCAACGTCCTCCTCAGACTCTAGAAGCACTTCGAGAGGAGTTGGTGGTTGCTTGGAATGAGATACCACAGGAGGACGTTGACCACCTGATCAGAAGCATGCCTAGGCGCGTTGGAGAATGCGTAGCACATCAGGGTGCATCCACACATTATTAAAGGTCAAAGGGCTTTAAAGCGGTGCAATCATTTTGAAATTTTTATCATTTACTTATTATGCTTCATTAAGTACTTATACAAAATTTTATTAAAATAAAACCATTTAAACTGGGTGTTCGGATTTATATGTCACTTAGTATATATATTAATTGTGTAAATATTAATAATAAAACACCCAAAATTTCGTTAGTGATAATTTGTTCCTCTTCTTCTTATTCTTCTGCATCATCATCATCATCATCTTCTTCATCATCATCATCTTCTTGTTCTTCTTGTTGCTTTGTTAATTTTACAGATACAGGCGATGCCACCCAGCGCCTGAGTAATAGGTCTCTCGCAGGTCCTTCCGTAGTGTAGTTTGTGTCTTTTTTAAAATCTAATCGCAAAACCTCGGCATAAATTCGGAGATCGCCCAATCATATAGACTGTATTCCGGCGCCCGAAAAGGAATCAGAAATATTTTGAAGCCATCTAGAAGACAGTAGCAGAACACAAAAATGAAATTAGAACTTGAAACAAGTTGGTGTGTTAGGAAATGCTACTGTCTCTTAAATGGCGCTAGGATCTTCAATCACCTTTTTGGCGTCCCTTTAATGCGTATTTTAATAGGATATCGTCGAGTGAAACTGGATGTCTTCATGCGGGATACGTTATTCAATGCCTGAATATAACAGATAGAAATTATAGGCACCAAAAAAGGATTGACCACTCTACCTCTTGTCAAAGATTTCTAAATTTTGTGCTTTGCTCCTGTCTCATATATGGCGCTAGGATCTTTCAGATCGCTTTTTGGGCACCGTATATGGTTGGCTATCTCCAGGTAGAATTCGTTAATCAATGGTATCATTCAAATTTCCTCTTTTCGGTCGGCAACCCGCAGTCGACATCTTAAAAAGTATAAACCCGTTGTTATACCAGTCACCTGAAACTCATCTCCTACCACCCATCACATGTCGCCTGCCACTTCGGAGTATAACCGTGGCCTGAGATTATTATACACCGGGAGCGAAGTGACTATTAGGGGATCTGTCGTGTTAGTTCAACTGAGCCAGGGCTGTCAGGGCAAAGGTGCAAATTTATCGCAGACATCATTTATCAGATCAAAAGAGAGTTGTCAGTTTGAAACCAATTTTTTCATAGCCTCAAATTAGTCCGACATCCGATAGGTGGCGCTCCCAGCAAATTCTCAATATGATAATAATAATAATAATTTTTATCGGAATGTATATACATAACAAATATAAAAACGACAACATTCCAAAAGGAAAGAGGATTGGCACGGCCATTTTTCACCTCCCCCTAAAAAGTTAGTTTCATGAGATTTTATTCAACATCAACAGAGTGATTAGCATTCACAACAAATATGATACACCATTAGTTTCAACTAGTCTGCCATATTAAGGCCCGTATCCTCAGTCGTCCCTACAAGTAGGGCGCCTTTATGGCCTCCTTGATTGTCATAGTTTTTTACTTCTCCGTGTCAGCGCTCTATTTTGAGGTTATGTCACAAACATCTATTTGCATCAAATTGTGCTTGTTTTTGAGTTATATCATGTTTTATCAGCCTGAACTTTCCTACAATTTAAAAAGAAAACATATCTTCACAATAGGAGAGCACCGACGCTGACCCAGGACAAGTGTAATCTAGAAATTTTTGAAGGAGAGAAAGGTGTATGACAATCAAGGAGGCCATAAACGCGCCCTACAATTGTAGGGACGACTGACGATACGGGCCTAAGATTACATTCTGTACCGAGGATTTTGGATCTTTTATAGGCTAGAAACAGAGAATATAAGGATCCGGTGGAAGAAGAATGGGAAAAGTTTATGAAGGTCATCAAGGATGCTGATAACGAAAGTAATGCAATAATTTCAGAAGATCAAGAGGAAGCAACAACTGAGCGGCAAATAGATGAGATAGAGGAACAATTGAAAAAACTGTCAAGGTATGATGGTCATCTCCTTCCTAATAGGAACAGTTCGACTATTCGAATAAAAGACGATGTATGTGAGATATAAGCATATTTGTATGCCTTTTGTTAGTATGGAGTATAACATAAGTGAAATGCCCGCCGCGGTTTTGTATAGTCTGCTGCATGCTGCACAAATCGGTTTAAATTAAGGTGATTCATAAACTTTTTGAAGTTATCGCATTCTAAGCAATATCTATTTTCTGATGATGGTATAGACTAGTGATGTGCCGAGTCGCTGTTTTGATGGATCGAGTCAGTTTATACGGTATTCGAATCATGACTCGATTCCCTGATTTGAGACCAGTACTCGAATTCTATGTTTGGTATTCGAATACTGACTCGAGTCCGGCGAGTACGAGCGAGTTAGCCAAACTCTAATACGAGACTCGAGTCAGTTGGACTCGCATAAATAGAATCGAGTTAGCGAGTACGAATCGATTCTTCCAGACTCGAGTACCGGAATCGAGTCCGGCGTACTCGAATTAAAATAAATTGGTATTCGAGTAGGCGAGTTCTAAAGCAGGAATCGAGTCTGACTCGAGTCAAACCGTACTCGGTACAACGCTAGTATAGACTCGTATGTACTATCTTGGAGTTTTTTTTTGCGTAAGTGAATTTGACTGGTTGCATCACTGTTTTTTTTAACATTGATATTTTCAATAATAATTGGATAGATCTTGAAAATAGTTGAAGAATGATTGATGTCTGACATACCTCTGACTGATTCGGTCCATTTTAAATAGAGACAACCTACGTACAATGTGCGCTAGCAGGCCGGAGTTGTCAATCTGCCAAAAAACAATAATTCTGCCCAGTCTTCTTCATACGTATTCTAAAATCCCCGAAACAATCATTCTGTAACGGCATCGTTGCGAGCGACGAGGCAGGCCGCGAAGTTTCTGGAGTGGCCGCGACAACGCTTACAGAAAACTGTCGAAACGAAGAGCCCCTTCGAAGCGGCATTCGGACGGCTAGGATGGAGCGGCAGAGTTGAAGTGACTAGCGCGACATAATAATTCGTAAAGAAGTAATCAGACATAAATAAGTGTTCTACTCTAGTTAAGTGAAAGTGTTGTAAATAAATTAGTGCATTTATTTTTGTGGCTCGAGTGTTTCAATTCACACCCAAAAGAACCCAGAAAAACGAAACACTGGTGTCAGGTGTGGGGTGTGGATTATTGGACATTTAGTGAAAATAAATTGGACGATCAGTTAAGACAGAATGGTGCGATTGGTTGATTTGAAGATTGCCGATTTAAAACCAGAGCTGGAGGAAAGAGAGTGCGACACGGCTGGAAAAAAAGTGGAGTGACAGGAGCGGCTTCGTAAAGCATTGATTGACGAAGGCGAGGACGTGGATAATTTTATCTTTACCGGTGCAGGCGATGTTGGTTTAATGCTGGAAGATCTTTTAGAAAACTCGGCCAAGTTAGAAAATGAGCTCGTGGAAAACTGTGCCGATGTTTGAGAAAACTCGACCAAATTAGAAAACAAGCTCGTGGAAAATTCTGCCAATCTAAAAGCACATCTCTTGGAGTTACACAAAGTATAGCCAAATTAGAAGAGAAATTTTTGGCAAATACCGCCAACCTAAAAAGAATTGGAATATAAAATTATGGAAAAATCTTGCAAGTTGAAAAAACGGATTTTAGAAACTTTCACACAGTTCACCTCCGTATTATAAAGCCTTGTGAAACCGAAATGTCAGTAAACTCATGTTCATTATTTGTGGTTTTGTTAAGCATCATAGCATATAGATTAATCAGTGAGACAAGTACAGCATAAATTACAGAAGATATATTACATAATTCAAATACTACATTTCTGTTAAATTAAAAATCTTATGCGATATGCATTTAATCCAATTATTACATACAATGAGCTAAAATTACTGCCGCAGAGAGTTATCAGATTTCTCCCACCCATTATTGTGCTCCTGAATATATATATATAGAGAGAGAGAGAGCGAAAATGATCATGCGGAGAAAGGTATATAACAAAAAATAGGAAAATAATGGGCAAAATCTGCAAAAGAAGGGAAGTGGATTCGAGCAGAAGATAGGATAGGTACTCGAGCAATATGTATTTCTGCTTGTTTGCTTCATCAGGCCCGAAATGAATGCACATATGCCACTACGAAAGTAGATACACATGTCCATACTTCCGGACAAGGGTGTAACCTGAGGAAACGAAGATGGGGAGGGAAAAAGGTTGACACACGAACTCCCCAACAAAAGCCAACCTACACATTGTCGTATAAAATGGTTAGAAGATCTCGAATTTTCAAGGCGACCTCTAACCACTACCACGCGGCCGGTTATAGCCACTTGCTGTGGTACTTATACTTAACGATCTTAAATTCATTTTTTTGTGAAAAATCTCTTCCATCCCTCAACTTTGGAGGGCGTTAAAAAAATTGAGCTTATATTTCATTATTCATTTTATTGTAAAAACTGTTTCAATCCATGTAGAATAAACCCTGAAAATTTCAGCTTGCAACAATCATATCACATTCGTTATGTGATGCGATAAACGTAAGAAACGCAATAGAATCCTTACCACACTATAATAATAATTATTCTAACTTTTTCTTGTAAAAATACCCTGTGAAATGATATCCACAGAAAAATTCATCTAAGATGCTAGTACAGAAAATGTCATCGAACTACTCAGGATGGCTCATTACAATAAATTATTCACCTTACCTTAAAGTCACTGCAGATTTGCCTTCTTCTCCTCAACCAAAAAATGATGTTTTCTGTAAACCATCGACATCCATTCAGTTGCTGTGCCAATAGAAAATAGATAACCAGATAACTCGGTCACAATGGCCGCTATCGTGAATACCAACATCCAAATGAGCAAGATTCATTAGCTACCAACAGTGATTAACAAATACCCCAGTAAAAATCTCAACATTGAAATTTGGTGACGTCGTTGTTCTGGCGACCCTCAGCGGTCGCCGCCAAATGGAATCAATTACCAGATCACCGAGGACTTAATCGGGCATGAATACATCTCGTCAATTTGTTTAGGGCTAAGAAGTATTTTCCTCCGCATGACCTTCTCACTCTATATAAGGCCCAGATAAGGCCTATCCTCGAGTATTGCTCACACGTTTGGGGTGCTGCCGTCCCGACTACATTATTTATGCTCGATGCTGTCTAGAGGAGGGCTGTCCGACTGACCGACGACTCTTCCCTAACAGACAGTCTCGGAACCCTTTCGCACCGGCGGGCCGTCGGCGATCTAGCCTCTTCTACCGATACACCAACAGGCTTTGCTCCTCAGAGGTCTCTTCCATGATACCACCACGCGATGTGCCTGCCTGACCCGCCCGACTTTGGCCTCCCACCCTAACCGTGTCGAACTTCGTACATCCAGAACTGGCCGATACGACCGCTCCTTTTTCCCGAGAGTGTCGAGGTTGTGGAACAATCTACAAGAGGAAGCTTTTCCCAGTTCTACTAACCTTAGACAGTTCGAAAATCCATTAACAAAATTTATTTGGGATCCTCATAGCAGCCGCGGTGTCCAGACATTTAGGCGCCTGCGCGGCTACTTCGGTATAGAAAAAAAAATTGAATCTTGAGAGTCAACAATGAGTAGTTTTGGTTAAAAAGAAAGATGGTTCAACCAGATTTTTTGTAGACTATCGGCTGCTGAACAATGTGACCAAATAGGACAGCTACCCTCTACCGCGTATTGATGATATTCTGGACATCCTGGCTGGATCAAACATATTTTCCACGCTAGATCCAAAAAGCGGGTACTGGCAAGTAGAATTGGCTCCTGAAGATCGGGAGAAGACAGCATTCACGCTGGGCACTGGATTATGGCAGTTTAATATGATGCCATTCGGCCTGTACAATGCTCCTGCTGCCCTTGAAAGGCTGATGGACACGATTCTAAGAGGGCTATCCTGGCAAACGTGCCTGATTCACCTTGATGACATGATGACATTGTTGTGGTGGGAAAATCATTTGAGGACCACATGAAGGACCTAGAGGAAGTTCTCTTGAGGCTACGAGGTTCTGGCTTGAAATTAAGGACAAAGAAGTGCCACGTGTTTCAAAGAGCTGTGCAGTATCTTTGCCGTGTTGCTTCCAGTCAAGGAGTCGTGGTCGACAAGGAGAAAATCCAGACTGCAAAAGAATGGCCAATTCCGAAGGACAAACGTGAGCTACGAAGCTTCCTACGTGGAAGGATTTGCTAACGTCGTAAAGCGATTGATCAGGCTGACTGAAGGGGAATGCAAATTGCAATGGGATCAGGATTGCCAACAAGCTTTTAGCAACTTGAAAGAAGTATTAATAAGCGCCCCTATACTTAGTTATCCCCTGCCGGAAGGAAAGTTTGTGTTAGACACTGATGCTAGTAATGTGGGCATGTACTATCCCAAGTCCAGGAAGGCAGAGAAGAAAAGGTCATTGGTTATCTTAGTAAAATGCTGTCCAAACCAGAGCGTAACTATTGCATTACCCGGAGGAAGTTGCTGACCGTCGTAAAGGCAATGGAACATTTCTACAAATACCTCCATGACAATATTCTTATTCCGGCAGGCTTATTACCTAACTTCCAACCGACCGACAACCGACCCGAATTGGTCGATAGTTGCTGTCAAACGCAAATTTCGTATTATGTATCAGTCAGCGTGTCTCAATCGGCGACCGGCTAAGGTGGCGCCACTATGGAGCAACTGGTGAACGAAAAGTGCATTCTTTTGTTAGGAGTATCAAAAAATTGGTATTCCCTAACTCATTGACAGCGACCCAACAGCAACTTACTAACGATTTGAACTGTCAAATCAACAACTGCTCAGTGGTAGTCGACTAGTCGGTCGCTAATCGGGTGATAGTGTTTTGTTTGGATAAATTTGTCAAAACTATTCATTTTTTTAATAAGAAAGGTAAGTATAACAAGTTCAAATAAGGAATAAAATAGCTTGGACGAGTCTAAGAAGTGATTGTATGCTCCCAATTTGTATTTTCAGCAATTTTGTTTCTCTGGATGGCTCGTGCATTTTTGCTTATGGAAGCATTGGAAAGAGAAAGAATGCACGTTCAAAGACGGCAAACTTCTCGCCTACAGCGTATTTGTCAGTATCTGTGTCTTGAAGTTCATAATGATTATCAAATAAGCTTACTTGCACCTTCCTACCACAGTATAGAAACATATTGGTTTTAGGTATTAGCAGCACTTCTGGTGCTGGCCACCGGTTCCTGCCAGAAACATATTGGCATGGGTTATTTACATGGGCTCAGTCAACCTAGTGTATCCAAAGCACTAAGGGAAGTGGTGGATGCATTAAATCATCCAGACATTCTATCTAAGCATATTTACTTCCCTCAAACACTGCCAGAGAGGATAGTAATTATATTGCCATGCATATTAAGAAAGTGAGATTGCATATCAAAATTGTGGGGAACTAATGAGTTCAGCTACATCAAAAATGTTCAACACATGGAAGTTTACATTACCTGATAAAAATTCCATCGCTGTGGAAGTTGAAATTTCCTATTAACAAGAGTAATAAGTCAATATTTATCGATCCTAAGATCAGTACCTCAGACTCATTATCTGTAAGATTAACAATACAGCAACAAATCCGAGTCTTAATATTTCACATAATTTATGCATCATACCGATTTCAGCACTAATATTTACTTTGATTTTTTTACTTTAGTTGTAATTATTGTTATATGCCTGCTTGAAGATGAGTAATAATGAAAGATATATTTTTACAGGTGACTCTGGACATCCATTAAGAATCGGTCTTACCAGAAATACCATAGGGCGATAAACAGGAGTATTAAAATTTTTATTATCTACTGAAGCGAACATTTTAAATTTCCATGAAATAATGTTCATTGTCATATGCTTATGGTTAATGATAGGTCTGCTTTAAAAAGGTTTTATCAACGAGTAAAGAAAATGTTAATGTTTATAGAATTAGTTTTCTAGGAAGGTTTATTCTCACATGTCCATATTCAACAATATCTATTTAAGAGGATTTGGAACAAGAATAAAAGTACGCTTTGAGCGAAGATCAAGAAAAATTGCAAAATGCATTTGTAACAAAAAGCACTGCCTTTTTAAAATATAGAGTAAGTTCCCTAACTTTTTTTTAAATAAAAATTTGAAAAATTGACAGAAATCAGTCTAATTTATTTTATTTAATCAGTAATATATTATTGCTTATACACACATTTTTTTTCTCAAAAAATAGACAACATAAAATAACACATTTTCCAAAAAGTAACGAAAGTTATAAACTACTACTTGGCATGATAATATGGACCACTGGATTTTAATATGGACCATACCAAAATGCGCCAAACATAAACCAAAAATTCGCTAAAAAATCTTATAACAAAGCATTGGAATCATATAGACATCTAAGGGCTAGAACCAAATTCACATATAAATATGTCTTTCCACATCACTGCAATCTGCATGTGCCCATCGGCTGCAAGAGTCACATTGGATCCATAATTCCCCATTGCAATCTTGGGAATACAAACTATCGCAGTACAGACAGGCTGCGTTGTCTTGCACAGTAGGATCAGGTATGAAAGACTCTTCGCCATCTGAACTATCCTTTACCGAAAAATCACTGGAATCGTCGTAGCTAGAGCTTTCACGCGTTTTAAGAAGGGGTTTTCGTTTTTTCGTCGTGGTTTCCTTGGTAAATTTTTTTTATCTTCATTTAGCATTAATGCTTCTTTCAACCTATTGTCTTAGGGTCCATGGATTTTTTTTGCCCTTCATAAGTGATTCCTCAAGTTATAATTTGTATGGTGAAGATTTTAAAACAGTCGCTTTAGTGGCCTTTCTTCCCCTATTGCTTTTTATGTTTCTTACGCGAAGTATTGGACTGATATTTATCGGCGTGATAAAAGCAGGAGTTGCTGAAGTACCTGCTATTGGGTTCGAATTAAGATTCCAGCATCGCCACCGCTCTGAATTGAATTGTTGGTAGTCTTGACTGTTATACCAGACAAATTACTGTTCGTGGGAGATTCGTTATCCAACTCTTCAGTTTCAGATACAGTAATGAAGTCATGATCTTTAAAGATGTATCTGTTAAGAGGATAAATCCCTGTTGTTTTAAAGCCATTTATAACCAGCTCTGCACACTGAGCTCGCACGTATGCACGGCCAAAAATACCTGCTATGTCATAGTGAGTTATTGGTTTAGTGTTAACTCGAATCCATGCACGAATTTCTTCTGACAGATATTGTTTTAAAGGACCCATAAACGTCTTGTCCAGAGGTTGGATTTTATGGCTTGAAAGGGGAGGTATAGACAATAACTGAACATGGTTTTTACGTGCTAAATCAATTACCTCTATATTCCGAGTGTGACTTGAATGTCCGTCCAATATTAAGAGGACTGGTGATGTAGCGAAAGGTTTCACATTTTGCAAAAAGTGTTTAAACCATTGAGTAAACAGATCTGTTTAGATCCACCCTGTTGGATGGCAAGCATGTATTGCTCCAGGTGGAGCACCATTCATTAATTGCGGATGGTCTCGCTTACGGGGAAATATCATCATTGGTGGGACGAATGATGCTGCTGCTTTCATCGAAATGACACACGTAATGGTTGAACCCCGTTCAGCAGAAGTGATTGCAGCTATGGATATTTGAATTCATTCATTGCTTTCTCCAATAGGTCAAAAAAATTAGAGACATTTTTCGTGTTAAATCCTTTAATCCTCGCAACTTAAGTTCCTGTCGGACGACGAAAAGACAAATTAGGATGACGAGACAAAAACAACTTCAGCCATGTTTTTCCAGCAGATTTATTTACTTTTGAAAAAGTATTTTTTAAATTATTGCGTTTGGCGAGTTGGTATGCAATTGATTTAATGTGCCGTCGACTCAAACCAAAACCGCTATTTCCCATAGCTAGAACTTAACTGACCAAGTCAATTTGTAGATTTTCTGGTAGAATAGCTTTTCTTCCTAGTTTAATTGCTATTAGGCTGTGTAAGGGCAAATTATTGTTTTTAGATAAGCGAATAAGTGTAGTTTTAGGGACATTGAACGATTTTGAGGCTTTTAAATATCCCATTTTCTTCTCTCTCACTGCAATAATGGCATTTTTCATTGCTTCCTGGTCCCATGTTTGTCTTTTCTTAAGTGGATTCTTCGCTTGTGAATACATATTCTAAAAAAAAAAACAGTTTTTGATATGGACCACTAGTCCATATTTAATACTTCAAAGGTAGTCCATATTAAAAAAACATCATTTTTTTACTTATCCTATAATTCTGAAAAAATTAAGCCAATAATCATCTCAAATATTTAGCAATCTAACAAAACAATATCCGTTTAAGGCATACTCAATAAATAAACTGAGAAAAAAATAATATTTTCAGGATTACATCCGTGTGAAACTTACCTAAAACTTATATCATATACCGATAACAAATTACTATGGCCTACTTGACGTCAACGTTGCACCTGCACTGCTTAAAATCGACTGACACAGCGGGTTGAGTACGGAACAATGTAAGAAATGATTTAGATGTTGCGGTGTTGCCATTGTAAGGAAAATAAGGTGGTCCATATTAGCGGACTAGTCCATATTTGGAGATTTTACTCTAGTTATAAAACCGCTGACCTTTTTGTAATAGAACCCAATACTTTTTAAAAAATGTATCAAAAGCATTTCTACAAATATAATTTTTTTAATGACACTCCTATTTCGTTTACGTCAATTTGTCAAGCAATTATTTTAAATAATACAATAAAAAAATCTTGTTTGTCTTAAAAATATTTTGAGACAAACTTTTTACCGTATTAAGAGTTATAATATAGTAAATTGCTTTGTGCAAATATCTTTTATTAAAATGACAAAGATTAGGTTGCACAAGTAAACAAAAATCATAAAAATACTTCATCCTTTCTGAATTTCAATCAGGTTTGAAGGTTTGAGATGCTTGACCAAATTTCTTGTGAAATTTTTGAAGTTGCATTAATGCCGTCTCTGCCTGCATACAACTTGCTTCTGCACACTGCATAGCTATTTGTAATTCTATATCTGGTGGTGGCTCAGCAGCTGAAGATGGAGTTGGTTCTGAAAATCAAAAAGTTTTTAATTAATGTCTCAAGTTATGAAGCAATACCAAATAGAAACTGAATTCATATGCAATTTTGGCCATATCTACTTCAGATAAGTTATCAACATTAGCACCCTCCACCAGTACCTGTAGCATCCTGCCTATATTGTGCAGCTCTAGATTGTATCATATGTTTAAGGTCTATCCAATACTGTAAAAAAGTATTATTGTATTAGTATATGAATAAACCCATATGGAAAGTGGAACAAAATGCCTTATTATAACCTACAGTACTAATCCAACAAAATTACCCATGGAATCTGGGTAAACTACGTTTGCAAATATTAAAAGATGGTAACAACTGTTCGGAAAAATACAAATACATTGAATTAAACAAACTATTTTCTACCAGTTTTCGCTTTTTTAATGAATGGACTACATGTTTTTTGAAAATAATCTGTGTATAAAAGAGTTTCATATAAATTCTAGTCCAATAAAAATTGAATTACTGCAAAAATGGATAAACGTTATTTACTTGAATAAAAAAGTATTTTGATAAAATATTGTGAAAACGTAGTCTTTGGGAACAATTGTCTATTACGCTGTTAAAAAAAGTTCTACAACTCGTTTGAATTTATCTAATGAAAAGAGGGATACAACAGAATAATGAACATAGCAAAAAGTTGTAATTTTATGATGAAAAATAAGATGCAGCCCAATTATAAAAATTATGAATTAGCGATAACAAAAGGATGATTAACAAAATGTAACAAAAACTCACCCTTCTCCAGCATTGTCCATTTTTTGTAGCTCCAGATCCATGAGTATTCAGACATATCGCTAATTAGTCCCACTTTCTAGTAATTGTCTCCCTTGATCTCCCTCCAAGCTCAACACTGTCCTCGGCTAAATTAGGATGAATTTCTGCAAAGACAAGTAGCTCATCGATTTGCAATGTTGAGTCTATATTCCATTTTGAAAATTTAACACAAACACCTCCTAGTCAGACAAAATCTCAAACACAAATAAACTATGTTCACGTTTTCTGATGCATTTGCAGCCTTTAATGAACAAGCAGTCACCTAGATCTATGTAGGTAAGTGCCAGCAAGTGCTGATTGATTTAGAGAAACATCTGGCACTTGTCAATAAGCTGTTTTCACCCTCGCGTTATTTTGAATCGCTCTTTCTGTCTTGAGATAAGTCTTCAAGGCTATGTGAAACTGTGGCAACTATTTGTCGACAAATGACTGTGTGTATATATTAAGTGTGTATCAAGGGTCCACTCTTGATTTATGTAAACATCCATACATCTGCGGCTCATACAAAGACATTCATTTTTAAGAACATACCATCGTATTATATACTTACGAGTTCAATTTTCAACAAAAGTAGGTCACATAGATAATTTTAAATTCGCAATCACGATCCACAATGTATTTATCATTTTTCGATTTATAAACACGACGATTGTTTACCATGGTATGTCACTTTAATTCCACCGGTTGCTACTCGAATGCTAGTGGCGCTGTTTCGGTCGCAAAAACTGCATTCAATGACAGTTGGGCAACCGATTGCCAATTGTGTTAGGGAATACGAATTTTTCGGTCGCTCGACAATCGGTCGCAAGTCGGTTGGTGGTCGGCTGCTCACCGATCAGAGTTGGAAATTTTTACGTAATAAGCCTGCGGACCGATCACGCACCTTTATAATGGCTCCTTCAGATTAAGGATCCAGAGGGTCAAGTTGCAGGATGGATAAAGAGGATTGCAAGCATTACCAGCAGGCAGAGGAGAAATATGTCCAAGTATTAAGATAGAACGTTAGTGATACTTGGCAAAACGAAGACCTCATTAAAGACCAAGAGGACGACCCCGATGTCCAAATAATTCTGAACTGAATGAAAAAACAACAGAAACTATCCTGAGAAGAAGTTGCCAAGTATTCTTCTACCATAAAATCATATTGGGCACAATGGAATTCTCTAGTTGTGGACGACGGACATTAACAGCGTAAAATGGTGGACCACGACGGTAAGGAGGAAAGAAGGCAAATAGTTATCACCAGATGTCGGATCCTGGAGCTGCTAGAATAATTCCATTCCGGTGTGTCAGGAGGTCATCTCGGAGTTTCAAAAACTCTGGGATACGTGGGGGAAACATTTTACTGGGTCAGTAGCAAGGCGGACGTAAAAGACTAGCGCAGAAAATGCGTTGTGTGTGCGGCAAGTAATGCACCGCAAAGGAAACCAAAAGCTTCTATGCGCCAATACAACGTGGAGAGTCCCTTCGAAAGGGATTGTTATTGATGTGGCGGAACCCTTTCCAGAAAATGACGTAGGAAATAAATATATCATTGTGGTAATCCGCTCTACCAAATCACGAAGCCTCTACGGCAGCCTATGCTTTAGTAGAGGAATGGATCTGTCGATTTGGTGTACCTTTAGAGCTGCATTCGGACCAAGGGCGTAATTTAGAGGTAAATCTGTTCAAAAATATCTGTCATATCCTTAAAATTAATAAGACACCGGTAGTCAGAAGGAATGGTGGAGCGCATGAATAGTACCATTAACCGGTATTTGCCAAGGTAGTCTCTAGTCATCAAAGAGACTGGGATGGTGTTCTTCACCTCTTCTTATTTGCTTAACGATCGTCGATTCATGAAAGCACAGTAAAGACCCAGGCTCGAATAGTTATGGAAAGAGAACTCCGTCTCCCATGCGATCTAAAGTTTGGCTGTGCACCAGGAACTGATATTGCCGGAGAAGACTACGTAAGTGATCTTCGTAAAAGAATGGACGCCATCCATAGCCAGTTTCGTGTTTCAGTTCAAAGTGCTAGCGACCGGTTGAAGGAAGCTTACAAATGTGAATGCCAAAGACCACAGTATGACAACGGTGATATGGCTTGGCTTTGCGATCCAAAGAGGCGCAAAGAACTGTCGCCTAAACTGCAATCGTCCTGAGACGGGCCTTATAAGTCATCAAAAATCAGCAAGATTCAGAAGGCACCACGCGGTAAAGCCCGAATTGTAAATTTCAACCGATTGGCCCCTTATCATGGAAACAACGAAGATGCGTCGATGCGAAAAATCCAACCAGAACCGGACATGACATTTGACCAATTTATGGCCAAACATACTAATGTCCATAAGAGTCGGTATGGCGTGGCATGTGAAGTACAACAAGATATGTTTACCACTTCACCAGAGTATGCACTGGCACACTGTGTGGCTCAAGACTTGCACATGTCGAGAGGTACAGCGAAGGTCTCTCTCAAGAAGTTTGGAAGAGTGCACGAGCTGCGTCAGTCTAATCCCGAAGAGAAGTACTCCAGATAACTGAAGAGGGTACCAACCAAAATATCTTCTATCTGGTCACCAAGAAGGCTTCGTATCAGAAACCAAATTACGAGGATGTCTGGAACGCTTTGTGTTCTCTTAGAGAAGTGTTGCTGGAAATTGTGTTGATTGTTACTTCTTCAAGAACTCCTATTGAAGAAAGGGTAGTCGTGCCGATATCGACATCCACCACCAGTGCAATCATTTCGGGACGAAATGACTTTAGGGAGGGGGCAGTGTAACGAGAACGTTACTATTAGCGCCATCTATTGGGAACTTCGCCAAGGACTTTCCTACGACATCGATGCGGGCGACCAGGCAGCCCGTGGTCTGGCCGCGACGACGTGTACAAAAAGCTTCCGAAGCGGCATTTTGAATAAGAGGATGGCTGGGAACAGAGCGGCAGAGTTGCGGCATAATTCGTAAATAAGTAGTGAGACATAAATAGTGTTATACTCTAGTTAGGTTGAAGTTAGTTGGTTTGTGTTGTAAATAAATTAGTGCATTTCTTTTTGTGGAGTGTTTTAATCCACACCCAAAAGAACCCAGAAAAACGCAACAATACGATCAAGGAATATCGAATTAATTGAGATTTGCTTACACTATTATCAGTAAATTTTGTCACTTGATTTAGAAAATTGTGTATGATGATAACAACAAATATATTTGTTTTTGGAAGGCTCAGCTTTCTTCTAGATATTTCCCTGCCATGCCGGCTTGAAAAGCAGGGAACCTTGTTATAGCGAACGCCGCAAGGTCGCTTCATCTCGCTATTAGTAATACCCAACGAATTCGGACTAGGTTAGAAGAAGCCAAGCCCATATGATGTTGAAAGACTGTTTGTTAGCAACATCAACAGATTATTGTTTACACAAAATTTGACCTTGAACGAAAATTGTATACTTTTCCCCGAGTAGACATCTGCTTTCATCGCTCTTAAACTGCTTTTTACATAACATGCAACACTTCACCATCTTCGAGGATAGTCCAAAATGCTATATATTCCACTGAAATGTTTCAAAATTCTAAAAACTCTGTGAAAATATCACGGAAAACACAAGTAAACATGACAACATGAGCAAAATAAAGGTTCCCCTCAGTTGCACAAAGTCGCAGCATAAAACACCAGAAATCAGCTCAGCTGTTCTAAATTTGCCATAGCGTTGCCACGTTTAGTACGCAAATATTAGTTTTGCAGGAAATATCACCGGGATATAACAATACATATTTCTTAATTGTCTTCGGTGTTTATTTCAGATGTATTTTGAAATGCTGAGTACGAAACCAGAATAAAAATAGCTCATGATGTTTTCGGAAATCTCTGTGATGTTTTTTTTTTGGAAAAATTATTTGTTTTAATTTTTCTGAGTTCCGTGAAGTTGGTAGGTTTTGAAGCTATGATGACACTGCATCAGTTAGTGGAAACATTATAATATGAAATATATTAGGGTACTGAAACCAAAGACTTTCTTTTCAGTGCAGGGGTTACAAACAATTTATAACAGCACATACACATGAATTGTTCTATTTGACAATACAACATATTGGAGACAAATTAGTACTCTTCATTTAGTTATCACCACGTATAACATTTTCGATTATTTTTGCACTGCTCAGTGCTATCATCAATCGATTGCGTGAAGCCAGTTGTTGATTTTGAACAAGATGTGGCAACACCGCAGAAAACTGGTAGCCACACGAGTTTGTCTGTCGCTCTAGATGATTGATAAAAACAAATCTTTTGTTTACGTCTTCTACCCGTATTCGAATTCGCTGGTAATACCAGAGCAGTGAAATAGGGTTCAGGAGGTGCGTTAATTTAATAGCGCGATTAATACTTATGCTACCATTTAGCAGATGATAAGCGGCCAAGTGACAAACATCCTTGAGTGATGGCGAGGGTATAATATCCTTGAGGGCATTATTAGATTGCAACTTATTGGGATAAACCTGCCTCTGTAGAAATATAGCCCTAAGTTAAATTCATTCATGCAGACTGTCCACTATGTGGCGCATCGTCTGAGATATCAACTAGGCACATTGAGAAAAATGTAGGAGTAGCCAAATCCCCAATTTATTTTGCGTAAAAAATAGAATAAATTCAGGTTTGTGAGTGGTACACACCAACGTGTGTAGATTTTAATTTCCTCCCAAAAATAATATGATCCGATGAGAATATGGTCACTAATAATTGTATCTTTTATCGCCGCATCACTCATTACTGGGCACAAGAAAATCTGAGGGCTAAAAAAGTATCCAGACATCAAGAACGTTTTGGGTTTAATATGTGGTGTGCAATCTTATGGACCAAAATATTAGGTCCATTTATTTGCAACAACCTTCAATTGTTGCAACATGATCGAAAAGACTGGCTGGATAATTTACCTTTAGCACAGGTTAATAGCTGTTGGTAATTCTAGGCAAGTTCGAGAGTATCTTTCTCAGCGATTTCCCGGAAGGTAGATTGGAACCTCCAGGGAAGTGCCCTGGCCCTCGCGTTCCTCGGATTTAATTCCTCTGTATTTTTGTTTGTCGATTTATTAAAAAACCAAATTTATCAGCATACTTTTGAAACTGATCAGCAGTTACGAGAATGTGTAATGGAAGCATTTAGTATGATTTCAGAAGAAATTTTACGTGATGTTTTGAATTCCACTGTTAGATCATATTTATGTTGTTATTTTTGACCATAAAATAAAGTCTTGAAAACGTATTCGTTATTCCGAATATCACTAATATCGTTTATAAAATGACCCGGCAACACGTTTATGGGAAAAGTGGTTTCGATTAATTTCGCTGAATTTTTTATGTTATGCGTCTTGGCATTCCGAACAAGTGTTTCAATGGGCACAGGCCCTCAACTTGACCGGGTACCAAGATATAGGCCGTCCAGGTCAGTATAATGGGGTATCAGCGACTCGAATATCTGCTTTAAGTGAAAGAGTGGTTTCTGTTAATTTCGCTGAATTTTTCATATGTTATGTGTCGGCGTTCTACATAAATTCCTTAATGGGCACAGGCCCCAAAACAAAAAGGGGCCCAATATATAGACCGTCCAACACAGTATAATGGAGTATCGGTTTTACTCGATATCTAAGAGGAAGAGTGGTTTCTGTCAATTTCGCTGAATTTTCCATATGTT